GAGCTAATTAAAGCAATTAATGCATTAACTGATTGCTAGTAAATGCAGCGTGTGCATTTTAATGGTGAACACACAGGCTGTAAAGGCATATGTGAATCATGGCAGAGTGCTGGTAACTGTTGCAGGGTAGGATAAAAACCCACAACAGCAGAGGAGAGTGAGGATTGATGAGCCTGCCTCTGAGAATGCAATTGAGTTTAGTGAGAAAGTTCCTGACTGAGCTTATGTTGTTACTTGGTCCCATGACAGTTAATTAGCAAACTGTCAGAGTCTCAGGGCTTCAGTCAAGCTGGACTCTTCTCAAGGCAGGCTGCTACAGATGAACCCTGAGGGTACTATTGGCATTATCCACTCAGTTGGGAGCTTGCCTGCAGAGGACAAGGGAAGGGGCAAAGAAAGAGGAGGGCTGCAGGCCAAGGGCATAGCTACCAACTATATCAGCATGTCTGTCAGGAAGGTACTAAAAGGGCTAATGGCTATTGAGGGGAGCATGGGAAAGGATGCCAATAGAGATGCCGATGTTGCGTTGACAGTCTACAGGCAGTGTTCCAACTACTTAAACAAAAGTGCATGCCACAAGGGAGTCAGTAACATGTATATGTGCCATAATATCTGGGGAGATCACCATCAATCTGGCTTTAGAGGCTACCTAATGCTTGTAGCATTAAAAATGACAAATGCCCTGAATTTTAATGCTTTAGGCTCCCTTCAAGGGACAGTGGGGGTCTGTGTGGAATTTTGCAATTCATTCCCCATCATTGCCATCGAACTTGTTTGGATGCTTTGTTGAAGAAAGTGGAGATATTCTCAACTTCACTGCTGAAAAAGAGAACTATGTAGGATGACTGAGGGGCTTTGGGGCATTCACAAGTTTCCCAAAAAAAAAACAAGGGGACATTGAAAGCAGCAATGTGGTCTTCACAATTGCTGACTAACCAGTGGCCTTCTTTATTAGAAAACATTTTCACTCTCTCGGCATTACGGATGGTATGTGATCACTGTCAGCATATTCTGCAGAAGTCCTGGGACTTGCCATGATGCAGAATCCACAGTCATTCCCAGGTGCTATATCTGCTTGAATCAGATGATAGACAGGCTGGCTGGTTGGTGAGAGATGAGTGTTACCTGTTAGAGAGGCTGTTCATGATGTCTCTTGAACATCCTTGCTGTCCTATGGAAGAAAGATTCAATTCGAGCCTTGTCTTCACTCATGAAACTATAGATAGGACTATAGATCTCTTGAAAATGAGGGTTCTTTGCCTCGACCAATCTAGGGGCACATTGGACTATCCTCAGCATACAAGTCTGTCCGATTATGTTTCTGCTCTGTGCACTATACAATTTACCTCCATCAAAGGAATCAGGATGGGACTGGGGCAGGAACTGGAACATGAAAAAATGGATGGATGTCTGGTATCATCAATGAAGTAACTCTGATGAGGACTGTGAGAAATGCCAGAATGATACAGAAGAACATGACAGTGAGATAATTCTAGATGTGTGAAGGTCAAGGGAGACTTTGAACCTGAGCTGTTTCCAAAAATGGGCCACAGGCCTCTCCCAGAGAGGAATTGCCTTATTGTTTTTTGCTTAGTTCTGCACTTGACCCATCAAAGATATTTTGAGGGCTTGTCTCTGCACGCATTTAATACAGATGTCTTTGTTTTTAGCAGGGAGTTGTCATTGTTTTCTGGCCCTTATCTGAATGAGAAGGTCTACATTCCACTCATAAGTATCAAACAATAGTGCGAGGGAACAACTTAGTGAAGAGCAATTGAACAACACCGCACTCATATCATCCATCCATCCAACACCCATGATGGCCATTATGTGTCTACAGACCTTTTATAAGATCTTTTGGAGTGCTGTGCTGTGGTACTCCCCATTACTATGACAGGCTGCTGATCGATGTCCCATTGGGAAGATCAGCCTTGTCTGTCATCCACTGGTCATTGGAGACTGTGAGGGTCGATGTCACCTTCATTCAAACTTTCTGGCTCAGATCAAGAGATCTCCTCTTGCTATCCTGCAGAACCTCCTGCAGTTTGCTAACAGCCTGAAGCAGGGATTGCAGGAAGCTATTATCAAATGGTGAGATGGGGTGGGCCTGTGCATGTTCCCCTGCCGTTACTGAAAAATGATAGCTGTGATGGACTTGTTGTGATCCCTTGAGCCTCTCTATGGACATCTCCATGAAGCAGACATAACTTTATGGGAGAGAATAAATCTGCAGTTGGAGAGACAGGATTAATTAAGAAGAGTCAGCATGGATTTGTTAAAAGAAAGCCACATTTGGCAAATTTGATTGAATCCTTTGATGAGGTAATACATTTGATGAATACATGGCTTTTGCAAGAGTTTTGATAAAGCCCCTCATGGCAGACTGGTTAAGAAAGTAAGAGTCTGTGGGATTTAAGGCAAAGTGGCACGTTAAATCCAAAATTGGCTGAGAGGCAGGGAGTAGAGGGTAATGGTAGAGGGATGTTTCTTTGACTGTTTCTACTAGGGTTCCACAGACCTTGTGCTGAGGCAGTGACTAAAACCTATAGCAGTGAAGCCCACTTGAAAGCTAGCACTGGTTGAACCTTCTGATGTGGGTCCAGTTAGCAACAGACACACATGAAGAAGCACCATTAGGGACATGAATGTTTCTGAGATGATTGCCACCTCATCCTTGATTGTTCTGTCAGGGCAATTCAAGCATAAAACTCCAAATCTCTTGAGGTGGCACTGCATAAGTGCCTAAGGTCATTCATGGAATGCATTGTGGCACAGGATAGTTACAATGATGAGTGGTAACAATCACAGAAGAGCATAATGCAGGGTCAGGATGGTAGTAAGCATACATTTTTTTTGGTAATTTGGAAGATTTGATTATTTATAAGTGGGGTGTCCTCCTGTTTCCTTGTTACATGGTGATTAATGTTTTTAACCATCATCTTACAAAGTGGACATTAGGGATATTGTACATTAGATGGAGCTTTTATTTCATACAGTGGCATCAATGACACTGTACACTTGTGGGAATCTAGTCACAGCAAAGAAACTGATCCCTCTGACTTACTGTCTCACTCATGGCACAGTACTATACTGGGGAGTTCTATACTAGGCAGCGTTTGAAAGCATCTTGATTGCTCTGAACTGATGTTTGAATTAGTGTATTCAAAGACGACACCCATATTCATTATCATTTGGATTGCTGAGCTGTCTGTAAAGTTAGTACTGCCCTCCCTTACAGGGCATTTTTGTTTTGGGGAGGAGAACAATTAAATATGTGAAAGTAACTCACTGAACATTTAATATTGCTGCTGTTGTCAAGGCCTGGCAGAGATTCTGTCCCATTTCAAATAAGGTTGCCACAGTTGACAGACAACAGCTTGAAATGAGCAAATAATTGCATAATTCCAAGAGATTTTTCACTCTTTTTCCTGACATTACTTTTAAAAATGAAACAGCAACGGTAGTTTCCATTAGATAAGAACTAAAAAGAGAGACATTTCAAAAAGTATTTTTTTTAATGATTGTTCTAACTGGACTGTTTGAGGGCACATCCATGCAAACATTTGAATTTACTATAAATCAACTCCACATTTTTTGAGCATGATCAATCAGGAGAATTAGAACAATGGAAGGAGGTTTGGTTTACTTAGAACAGTATGTGCTCAATCACTTCTTTCAGCGAAGTGTTTCACGCAGAGAACTGGCAAGTTTGCTCATCGTGCTTGTCTCATTAATCAGACCACTCCTATATGGCATCCCTCCCATCTAGCTTCAGCCCTATCTTGCCACGAGCTATTCCCAGATCATCCCGCCACTACCAGGATATTTGGAATTAACTGGTGTCCTTTGCGACAACGTCACCTGTAAAAGCTGTGTGTGCCTGGAAAAGCAGTGTCAGTCAGGAATTATCCTGTATGGTCACTGATATTTGCCTGGCCCTCTCTAGTTCTGTGAAGAAAACAGCCCACATTAGGGCAGAAAGATTCAAGACAGATGGTGGGCTGCCTGGCATGCGGCTCCTCACACCTTATGTGGAGAGCCGACTCTGGCCGTTCTGAATTTCTGACTGACCGTGTCCAAGGCTGGTATGAGATGCTGCACTTGACTGGCTGTGCTGGGACTCCCTGGGTCTAGGCTATTCCCTTTGACTGAGGCCTGACGACAACCATGACAAATTTCCTTCTCGTGTGTCTCTGCTAAACAACATGAGAAGGCAGAAACTAATATGGGAGCCCTGGCTGAGGGGGTAAATCGCAAAACTGCAAGGCAAGGCAACGTAAGACAGAGGCCATCAAGGTGGTCTCGGAGCCACCGAGTGCTATGACAGCGAGCAAACAGCCCAGAGCCTCAGATTGGTCTAGTCCTTAAGCTGCATCCATATCCGTGAGCACACAGTATCCATGCTGCACTAGTGCAATTATAGCTGCCGGTGCAACATTGAGGTGGAGAGGCGTAGTATAAGTGGATTGGAGATGCTGGTTAAAACTGGCACATATCAAATGCCAATGTTCATAGATGTGGGGAGGATGCAGCCACTGTCCAAAGAACATGCCCTGAGATGTTAGTACCCACAACCAATATTGGGATCCTTCAGGGCAAGCAGTGAACTGAATTTGCCAGGTGCTCATTGTGATTTTCATGGTAAGAATTTTTGACATCCAGCTTGCTTGGAGAGTTTAGTAATGGAAAACTGAAATAGGAAGTGGGTTGTGCAATGATTCCCCCTTAATTTGAACCTCTCTAACGCTTAGTGAGATAGCTGCCATGCCACTAAATAAAAGCACAACAGATGGCCTGAGATGCTCTTGACATGGAGATAGGTCTTGTCAGATTTGTTGTCCAATTCTGTCCTAAATCTTGTCCTATTCCACATTGCTCAGACCCTTATAAAATTCTACCCTATAAAGTAGTATTATTGGAAAAAAGTAATTCTCTAATTGGAAGTAGAATAATATTATTGCATATTAGGTGTGGAGAAATAATTAAATATAGAGATAATATGATAATTTAAAAATATTTATTAATTCACCATGCCATTGAATATTGATTAAATCAAAAAAAAAGCTTAAGAACCACATAAAGTTCAGACATTTCTTGCATCCTGACTTTGCACAGTAAAGGAAACTCTGATTAAGTAATTAAATAGAAACTGTAAAAGTTAAAGAAATAACAGTTCAGTGCCGCTCTCAAATGTAAAAACGAAGTAGCGTTGCTGCACTTCCTTATAGCTCAGCTGGTAACAAACGTTTTGCTTTGTGCATGTTGTGAATCACTGGAGAAAAAGAGAAAGAGAAAAAAGGCATTGAGTGATATCTGTGAACTCAGTTCAGTTCAAACATCTTAGAACAAGAAATCAAAGACTTTTCTTGAACCATAAAAAATGTTATTTTCATATGATTACTCAATTCCATATTTTTGGTATCGTGATCATAACCTATTCCAAGCAAGGCCACAATATTAAAGCTGAAATGTCCAATTTGTGATCTTTATAGAACTTTTTCTTGTTAAGTGTTTCCTATTATCATAGTTAATAAATTAATTTTCTCGAGTAATGCTGAAAAAAAAGACACATTTTGTTGAAGTTTTTACTTTTTCTGCCATCAGGGCAGTTTTATACAGCATGAGAGAAGAGTATTGAATGACTGGCAGTTGGACTTTGATTGATAGAAGTGCTACCATTGAGACTGCAACAATTAATGTTGATTGTCAGTTAACTGCCAATCTTCATTTAAATTTAAAATCGGCCAGGATGACTTTGATTGTTCAAATTGTATTGCAAGGAGAAATGAATCAACGTATGGCTGTCACCTAATTTGTTGAGTTGAAGCAGTGTGTATGTACAGATCTTTCTGTCTTGAAGGAATAGAACTCTGTGTATTAACATATGTAGCTTCAATAAGATCATGGCCAGCATTTTACTTCAGTTCTACGTGCTCACATTATTCTCCTCTCCTTGATTTCCCTTGTATCCAAATACCTAATGAGCTCTAACTTGAATGTACACAATGACTGAGAGTCCACAGCTCTCTTATTGTAGAGAATTCTAAAAATTCATAAATATTTTAGAGAATAAATGCCCCTATCCTTAACCATAAGTGACTGACACTTGTTCTGACATTGTAATTGCTAGTTGTAGGTTATTTATTTGGAGTTGTACCAGTACTTAATCTGTAAGGCTCTAAAAATTTGATGTTCAATGAAATCCCCTGTCGTTTGAGTAAAATCTACAACATATACAGCTAGTGTACTTCATGCCTCCTCTTATAACAAAGCTAATTTGAAGTTTCTGTTACTTATTTGAAAAACCCAAAACCATTTCCAACACAATTTCCAAATTACCTTTTGTGACAAATTGTAGAACATAATTGATGGATTTTATTGGGAGTGGATTACCTCATTGCACTGACCTATTCACCCTCCCAAACTAAGAGTCAGTTGCAGCTCAACGATAAAAAATCTGGCTATCCAGATTTAGTTGGATTCGAGTCAGGTTTCTGCTCATTGTGGACAAGACTTAGAGCTGTGAATCCAGTCTGATTGCCTGGCAGTTCTGTAATATTATAAATAGTCCCAAGGATGAAGTGAAGATGGGTAATGGGTTTCAGGTTGGGTCTGGCATTTTAAGTGGCACAGAGAGCAGACCCAGGTGATGTGCAAGTTGGAAAATGGGTTGGGATTTCAGGTTTGGTAGACCAGAGGGAGTGCTAAAGTTGGAGTACCATCTTCCGGACAATGCCCACTCACGTGCACAGGAGAACCAACCCGCCCCCCGCCTAAAAGGTGGCATCATTTTCTGCCTGCCCCAGAAGCTGCTGGGCTGTTTGTCTTCCTCCGCTGTTAGTAAAATGGAGGTGGAGTTGGAATTTCACTTTTAAAGAGCAGTTTGTCATCTATGTGATGTTGTCAACATACCAAAAGGTAAGCAGGCTTCCTACACTTTAATTGGGAGACTGGTCATGGGGTTGGGGTTGGGTGAAGTGTGTGGACTGACTACTGCTGTGATGGATGGCAGCATTTACCCCAGTACATTTTCAAATTGGCAAATTGTTCTTGAATTGAGACAAGCAGATTCAGTCCATTCAGAAATGCTCACCAAAGTGCTTCACACTTACAGATCTGAATATCTTGTGGTTCATACGTATAGAGGCGGTTTGAGTACTTCCCTGTGATATCTGCTCTCACAGTCAAGGAAGGATCTGCAGCAAAATACAGAGCAATAGAAACAGACAACTTTCTTAGTTGTGAACTGAATTGGGACAGTTTGATTATGTTGCCTATTTTTAATGTCACAAAAGCTTTGGTTAAAAATTAAACACGAAGAAACATAAAAATAATGTTGACTTATGAAGTCATAGAGTCATACAGCACAGAAACAGATCCTTCGGCCCAAATTATCCATGTCGACCAAGTTTCCCAAACTAAACTAGTCTGATTTGCCTGCTTTTAGCTCATATCCTTCTAAACCTTTCCTATTTATGTACCTGTCTAAAAGTCTTTGAAATGTTGTAACTTTACCTGCATCTACCATTTCCTCTGGCTGTTCATTCCACAAACGAACCACTCTCTGTGTGAAAATGTTGCCCCTCAGGTCCTTTTTAAACCTTTCTCCTCTCACCTTAAAATTATGCCCTCTAGTTTGGAACTCCCCAGCCCTAGGGAAAAGACCTTTGCTATTAACCTTATCTATGCCCATCGTGATTTTACAAACTTCCACAAGGTCACCCCTCAACCTCCTATGCTCCAATGAAAGAACCCCAGCATATTCAGCCTCTCCTTATAATTAAAACCCTCCAGTCCTGGTAACATCTTTGTAAATATTTTCTGCACCCTCTCCAATTTAATAATATTCATCCTATAGCAGAACAACCAGAACTGCACACAATACTCAAAAAGTGGCCTGATCAACATTCTGTACAACCACAACATGACGTCCCAACTCCTAAACTCAATGGTCTGGGAAATGTAGGCAAATGTGCCAAATACCCACAAGTTATTGATGACACAGGCGAAGTAGTTTAAATCTAGGACATTGCCCTGTAGAGCCTCTGAAGCAGTTTCCTGAAAATGAAGTTGATTGTGATTGTTTAAGGCCAAACATGTTCATTAATGACTATACATTGCTCCAGAACTACAACAAACAAGTCAGGAATGTGATGGAATACTCTACACTTGCCTGGATAGGTGCAGCCCAACAACATTAAAAGATATTGAAATAAGAACATGAATAAGAAATGTTTGGAGGAATATTGGCCAAGCGCATGGAGTTGGGACCAGTTTATTTTGGGATTATGGTCAGCATGGACTGGTCAGACCGAAGGGTCTGGTTTCATGCTGTGTGACTACATGATTCTATGACTCTATAACACTCAAGAGTCTCAGCACAGTCAAGGAGAAAGCAGCCTGTTTGATTATCACACAATCCACCATCTTCAACAAACACCTCCTGCAACATGGATGCATAGTAGCAGCAGTGTATATCATCTACAAGGTGCACTGCAGGAACTTGTCAAGGCTCCTATGACAGCACCTTCCAAACCTATGTCCTTTACCATCTATAAAGACAAATGCAACTGATGCATGGGACTTCTCCCACCTGCAGCTGCCCCTCCGTACCACATGTCATCCTGATTTGGAAGTATACCATTGTTTATCCAGTGTTGTTGGGTCAAAACTTTAATCACCTTTCCTAAAAGCACTGTTACTATCCTAAAACCACAAGGTCAGGCATGCAAGAAGGCAGCTCACCACCTTTTCCAAGGAAATTAGCGATGCAAATGCAAATTAGAGTAACAAATGCTGGCTTAACCAGCAACACACCTGTCCCATGAATGGATTAAAAAAAATGATATTCACCTTTAGTGAAACTGGCTTGATGTAGTTAAATTGCTGGATCCTAACCAACAATGTGAATTATTGCCCAAGCAAACTATAGTCTTAAAAAACAGGACAAAACCAATTAAGCTGACAATTGTCCCATCAGCCTACCATCAATCCTCAATAAATTATTGGAATGGACATTAATATTACTATCATCCAGCACTTCATCATCAAGAACCTGCTTACTGATGTGGTTAAGTTCTGTTATTGTATCCTTGTTGCAATGTGGGTCGAAGCAATGAAAATTTCATAGGTATGGCTCGTGGTGAATATTGTAGTTGAACAAAAGCTTTGTGAAAATGTATAATTTGTGCATTTTTCGTTATTAGGATACTAAACAACACATAGTTGTATTACCATTCTATTCATGTTTTTGTTATTCTTTCTGGGTGCCTCTATTTATTACCACTAATCATCATTGCTTCTACTTTTAGATTTCCAATTTGTTAAAATACAAAACCAGATCAGTGAATGCATTTGCAGGTGAAATTGCAACTGAAGAAGGTTTCAGATACCAATACACAAAAGTTCTGTGCCTGTTGCTTTAAATACATGCAGAAGAATCATGTCAGGAAATTGCACATTCCCAGCCTATGATTTCACATCCATTAACATTAATGGATTCAGAATTGCAGTTTGGGAGTGTGTGGTTTCCTGATCTCTTGGCATGTGTGAGATGCATTATATTGGAATTTTCACCCAAAAATGAAAATTGGCCCGCAAACCATACAATACTGAATACACCAGGCCAAGCAGCATCATGATGCTGCTTGGCCTGCTGTGTTCATCCAGCCCTGCACCTTGTTGTCTCGGATTCTCCAGCATCTGCAGTTCCTACTATCTCCAATACTGAATACACGATGGGTTTAAATTACCCTTATGCAGAGGGTCAGCAGCTGTGCTGAGTTAGTTAAGGTTCAGTTGCTATGCTGGTCAAGGGGCTCTTATAGCACATGGTAGTGTCCTTGCCTTGGAGCCAGGAGGCTCAGGTTCAAGTCCTATTCATAGGGTGATTAGAGAATATCTTGTTCCACTGGCAGGAACAGCACATGAATGATACTGAAAGTCATTGCATAATAATTTTTGGTTGTTAAGTTTCGTAAAGCATCAATAAACCATCCAAATTTATTCACATTTGCTTCTAGTCCAAATTATATTGACAACATTCCTTGTAAATGTAATATTGAGAGGGAGGGGAATATTGGCATGTCCAGCATAGTGTGGAGACATTGTACAGAGTAATTTAATCAGACAGAAATAAACTTGAATGCAATAGCAAATCTCAGTTCACTGGACATGATAGAAAAGGGGAAGAAATTCCATTATCAGTGGAGAGGATATACAGAAACATCTGAGCCATGGGTGAATAACCACAATGAATGGCTTTCTCAAACAGCATGCCTACTACCAACATTAGAGTGACCATGATCTTGCCAAGGAGCAATGGGGGAGAAATGTAGCCTCATGAAGGAAATATGATGCATTTTGCCATTTCATAGAACCTGTCCTGTAGTGAAGACTCAAGATTGCCACAGGCTTATATTTAGAAATGTATGAGGGCATTTGGTAAGTAGTTCTGAGAAGGGGTCACTGGACTCAAAACCTTAATTCTGTTTTCTCTCCACAGATGTTGCTCAATCTGCTGTGTTGCTCCAGCAATTTCTGATTTTGTCTGTTTCAGATTTTCAGCATCCACAGTTTTGTTTTCTTATGATAAGAATGAACTCATTTTTGATTTATTAGCTAACTGTCCGACACCCTTTTCCAATAAGTAAGTTAACACTTTGCCCCAGTTGTAGATCCAGCACAGAACTGAATCTTTAAGCCAATCAATTGCCCATGTTATATTTAGTTTCATTTCTTTGCAGATGAAAAATGATGGACAATAATACAAAAATTAAATAATGAAACAAGTAATGAAAACCACGGAATTATATAAATGAAGAATATTGCCATTATAGAATGGGATGTGATGGGTTATTCAGCATTAACTGATCAATTCACAATCAGACACATACCTACAAATATGATGCGGGGTACATATTTGCCATCAGGTGCAAGGTTCTTATCAGCGGTTTCGTGCTTGTTGAGAAAAAAACAAGGTTATGAAACACCGAGAGTGAAATCTCCATTAATTGAAAAGCGAACAATATCAGAGTACACAGCACTTCGACTTTGTTTCCGGTGTTGTTTCTACAATCATGACACACACCATGAAATAAACAATCCCCCCGCCACCCCAATAATGCTGGTAGGGGAAATGAAAAGAGAAACATAATCCTGTATTATTTGAGGGAGGTGGATTAAACAAGAATACTTTTTTCATTCTATGCTTGTGGTGAGTGCGCTTCTCTGTGTCCCAATATTTATTCTCATACATAAGAACTAATGTATACCTGTGTAACCAAGGAGAAATTCATTTGAGTTATGATTTAGGCAAGCATGACAAGATTTAGAAAGAGATCCAGTTAGTGTGAGTCCCTGCTGTTTATTTCACTTCACAATGGCTATCTCACAGAGCAAATGTCTGCCTACTGTAAAACTTGCTTGCTCCAATCTGTTGATTTCATAGGTTTTGTAAGAGGTGGACAATCTACTTAAGGATTATAACCCAGGAGGCTAACTTAAGGAATACCCTATTATGAAAGCATGTACAGTAATGAAAAATGTCATATGATGGATATTTGTCCTTTTTACAACCTATCAATCCTAGTAGATATATTTACAACAAGTGTCACTAACGGCCTGGGGTTAGAGTGGATGAGGGATTGGGAAAGGATTTTACTCACTTTTTGTAAAACCCTTTGGTTTGTCCCACACCATTTGTTCATCCTTGCCATTTCTCAAATGCATTAATGAAACTAGGAAACCTTTTTTTTCTACTTATATCATGGGAAATATTTGTTTACAATTATTAATTGCCTTTGAGTTGGTAAGCCAACTTCGTAAACCACTCCAGCTCATGTGGTTCACCCAGAGTGGTGTCAAGGAGGGAGTTCTAGGATTTACACCCAATGACAATGAAAGGGTTGTGATATAGTTCCAAATCGGGATGGTTAGTAGGAATTCACATGTGGCAGTATGATCTTCAACTGCTGCCCATGTATTTTCTAGATGGTAGAAGTTGTGGGTTTGGAAGATTTTGCTGGAGTTTAAGGAGTTGCTGCAATGCATTTTGTAGATGGTCTTCTCTGCTGTCACTACAGGTCAACAATAGAGAGAGTGATTGTTTAATGTGGTGAATGGGATGATAATCAAGTGGTCTTTTCCTGGATGATGTTGAGCTTTTTGAGTGCTGTTGGAGCCCATCCCATCCCATCCCATCCCACTCAGGCATGTGGAGAGGATTCAACCATACTTCAATTGTGTCTTGTAGATGGTGGACATGGGAGTTAGAAGGTGAGTAAGTCACTGAAAAATTCTCAGTCTCTGACTTTCTCATAGCTGCAGTATTTATATGGCTGTTCCAATTAACGTCTGCTCAAATGTAACCTCGAGAATATTAATGGTGGGGGATTTCAACAATGTTAATGCCATTAAATGTCAGGGGAGTTACTTCAGTTCTCTTGCTGGTCAGGAAGAAAGAAATACTTGCAGTTATATACACTTATCAGAACCACTGGATGTATCAAAGTACTTTACAGTCAATTAAGTAATTTTGAACTGCTGTCCCTGTTCTAGGAGATGCAGTGGTGAATTTGAGTGCAGGAAACTCCCACGGAAATCAATGTGGCTTTTTTTTCATTTACTGGATGTGGGCATTGCTCCCTAGGCCAGCATTTATTGCCCATCCCTAGTTGCCAGAGATAATAACCAGATAATATGGTTTTGTGATGTTCATTGAGGTTGACTGTGCAGCACAGAAGGTTTATTGTTTAATAGCAGTATGTACAACCACATTTGGTTTGGTAGAATTACAAGGCACTTAGGGAGTTGGTACAGAAACAACTGCTCCCCTATGAAAGCTAGCGTAGAACTCATTGGCTCCACAATCATACTGCGCATATGTACGTTTGCCTTAAAATTATTCAAAGGCTTTGCTGCCATTTCCTTTTGAGAAACAAAATTCCAAATGTTTATGATTCTCTGTGAGTAGTAAAGGTTCTCCTAATCTCTTAAATGGGCCACTCAATGTTAAACAATGACCCTACAGTTCTATATTTGCCCATAAGATGAAACATCCTTTCCATATTTGCCCTGTCAAGATTCCTCAGGTTCATTTCTGGTTCAATGAAGTCACCTCTTACTTTTCTAAACTCCAGTGGAAACAAACTTAGGCTGCCAAACCTGGAGCAAATGTAATATGAATATTAACCCCATCAGAATGATTAACCCATACAACAAACATATTCACCACCGCTAAATGTGGCAAGACTGGATGAAAAAGTGTACATTAATTTCTGGTTTTACATTGAAACATGGGTTTACTTATGTTATGGTGCACATCAACACAGAATTTCTTGCCATTCTTGACTTGGGCACGAAATTGGTGACATTAATTTAAGTTTTGCCCATTTGCAATATATGACAACCTTGCTAAGATGCACAAAGGTAAAGCTGAAAACTGGAAAATGCTGCACTGGTTGTTCATGTCCACAGCAATGCCTTCCCCGAAAGAATGGAGGTGGGGTTTTGTGTCACTGCCATCCACTTTACATGGTATAGAAGAAAGTGGGGGGCTGCTACTGATGTAAGGTCAGGAGCTGAGACCCAATTAACTTGATTCTGATCTCTCTAAGTGCAGTGTTTTTTTTTGGTCGAGGCTTGACCTGAGTATCTCCGTGATGCAGCACGCTACTCTACTCGTCTGTTCCCCAGGATGCACACTAAGACAAACATCGTCTGCGCCTGGAGGACCAGCAACTTGGTGAAAGATGCTCTTTGGTCTGCCCAAAACTTGTTGGTCTTCCAGAGCAAGGAGTTAACCTCCACTGAGTGTCGCAGCCTGGCACATTCCAAGGTCCAAGACTACGGGCTGAGGAAGGCACTAAAGCTTGGGCCAACTGCTGCCAAGGTGCAGCAGGGAAAGTCTACCGTCTGAGGTCTTCCTGCTAAAGTTAAATGGGAGTCCATTCAGTTATCGAACTTTCCTCATGCCTCAGATGCGTGTAAATATAGTCTGCTTACAGTAAAAGATGCCTTTGGTTTGTTTGGATAGAGGCAAACTTCAATGTTTATTTGTTTCCTTGATATACTACAGTATAGAACCAAACTGTGTTTGTGGCGATATATAAAAAGATATTTCTTAATGAATAAAGCAAAATGAAAACTCTCTAACAGAACTTTCCCAGAAGACAATTCAACCTCTCAAGTGATTAATTAAGAGCCTCTCCAGTGGCCACTGGTGTTTTACCAGTGATTATTGAGGCTATAGAGCTGCCTGCATTTTGGACACTTTCTAAATTCCAGACGATCCCTGGCAGTAATTGGTGTATCAGTGGTGACAGCTCACTTGCCTCCACTAACCAGCAGTCCCAATCACTGAGGTGCCTGATCGATGCCAGCTCCCAGAGACCTCGCTTAACTGATTGTAAGGATGCATGGCCATTGTTGTGTTCTACTTGTCCCAGTGCGGTATGAACACTGGCCACCAGTCATAATTGACTGACAATTCTTGAGTGCAAGTTGCCATCCTTGACAGGGACAGTCAATTTGGTGGCATTCAATTCATTGACAGCTCATAGCCAACAGCCCATTGTGTGGAACCTTATAGGACCCTGAGTGATGAATTCTCATTATACTAAAATATTTTTGAAATAATAGCTTACTTTTAAGGTAAAGTCAAAGGTATCTGAGAATCTAATGCCATCCATTCTCATGTATTTAAAGGTGCCATGTACCCATTGGCTGTGTGCAGTGTGTCTGAGATTAGTGGTTTTCTTCTTGAGCTCTATAACACAAGGTGGGGAGAGCAGGAGAATGGCAGCTGGCATGAAACCTTGGAATAAAAAGAGCGAGTCGATGATGAGAGGGATGTTGTGAAGTAGAGTTGTGGGCATGGAGAAGTCGAAGAGAGAAAGACCTGGTTTCATGAGTACAATGGAAGGAGAGCTAGTCAAATTTAGAAAATGAGGGGCCTAAAGGACAGCATCAGTTCTGTCCGTGTGTGTACCCACCTCAGGGTGTTCACTGACAGAGTCCTTACAAACCTTGAGGCCATCGACAACATTTCAATTATTCCTGTTGTGAGTGGTCTCAGAAGAGTTCCTTCACAACGTGTAACAGGGAGGCCCAGCTAAGTCTACAATAGCAGTCATGTCCTATAGAGTGGTGATAGAAGACTGGATTCTAATATAAACATTCATTAAATAGTGAACAAAAAAAAACACCATCATTTATTCCACAATCAGGAAATGTCCTAACTCCCCTGTATGCATCAATGTGTGCCAAACATGAGGCATGCCAGAACATTTAGCTCTCTGACTAAACTTGCTTCAACAAGTACCAATGCTGCACATAGAAATAAAGCAAATTGAATATAATGCAATATAGTTACAAGTGACATTTAATTATGAAAAAACACCCATGTTACTCTGTCTTCTTAATAATTCTAATCTTAGTGGTAAAGGAGTTGGCCAGTCAAGGTGTGGCCATGATGAAGACCCTCCTGTAAGATCTGGAGGCTCTTTCTAGCCCCCTTGTAGATGTAGTACTGTCAGCTGATAGTGTGTTTCATCATTGGAAAAATTCCCCTACTGCATGATTTTGTGCCCCAGACACACTGTTCACATACTGAAGTTAATTGGAAGTATGTGAGAACCCACAAAAATCAATAGAACAGATGTACCAAGCACTTCTTGTTGCCCATTGGGCATGATGCACCCTGTTTAAAATTAAATCCACTGTGTGCAGATCGAGTAATGTCATAGTGAAAAGACAACCAGTGCTTGTTGTATACATTTCTATGCTGTAATAATTTAAATGTGATGTATGGACTATTTCATGTTTCACCCACTTTAATCTGAACACAGAAAGTGAGGCTGATGAATTTCTAGTTTCCATTTCCGTGTGTGTGTTCCTGACACAGGATTGAACATTGAATGTATTGAGATATTCTGAATTGTTGGACCATTAATTTTAGTTGACAGAATGTTATTAGAAGGATGCATCCACATTTTCAATGTGCATTCTGTGTGGGTTAACCTGCAAGTCTGTAAAATGTTTTATTCAAAGTGAACAGAGCAATGCTTACCATTAGATTTAACATAATGAAATCTTTGTCAGCCATAGCCTGGATTTCTTCATTTTCAGCAAAAATTTTCTTCAGTGCTGAAAAAAGGATTGAAAATATCACATGTTGTATGTGTTACAGTAGGAGGAAAAAAGGACTTGCATTGATCCAGCAAAAGTAGTTGAATGTTTTGCTGGTCAAGGGTGATACAAAAATTTTGGCTACTGATTTCTAATACTCTTCTTCGAATAGTACAATCGAATTGTTTGATTAAGTTAGTAACTGCCCAGTATACGTGGCATTTCTATATCATCTTTCTTGTACAACTCTATACTTAGTGAGGGGCTTGCAGTTCTGTAGTATGCTGGCCTCAATATAAGGCAATGATGGAAATTAGAAACCTGAGACTGATGTTATTAAGTTAGATGATTGGATGGTATACAGGTAAGTGGAACTTTTCTCAAAACTCCTCCTTTCACATAAACCCTTTTGCCAACATTGCAGGCCTTTTGACTTCCCAGTCTCCCATTGCTTCCTCATTTCCAAGGTCTCTACAGTCAAAGCAACTTCTGTCCAATTTCTTATGTCTCCCACCTTTTAGATTAGCTTATAGATTTACAACATCACTTCTTTCTATATTTGTCCAAAAATAATATCCTTGAACTTACAAGCATATTTGGATGCACCAAAGTGCCTTGCCATTCACAAACCCTTCCAATTCAACATGAAAACTCTGTGGCAGAGAATCTAAAGTTTGCAGAAGGTAGGGACATGAACAGCTGGTATGTCATTGGCATGAGTTGGACATGACAAAGACATAGATGAAGTTTACAGCCAAAGGTCAGTTAAGGTAGGGATGCAAGTGGTGATGTTACAAGCATGAATTATACATTTACCCTTAAACCCAGAACGTTCCTGTGACTATAACAAGATGACTAAATGTAGAATACATAATGATTAATATTTGTAAAGACACAAAATAAATAACTGCTTCTAATAGCTGATCTAATATTTATTTTAAAAAGCATGATATTTGTGTAAAATTATGTTTTGAAATGGAACAGAATTATATTTCTGACTATAAAACTGAAAGAAATCTATAAAACTGAGCTTTTACCATGACAGTACTTGCAGTCTTCCAAGTGATGGATAACCATTAATGGCTTGTTGCTAAAACAACAAATAATGTGTAAATTAGAAGAGATATTTAGTGAACTATAATATTTAAAACATGATCTATGTGTCTACTGCAGAATAGCATACTACAGGAGTAATCCAAAGGGTTCCCCTCATCTACACTCCAGTTCCAAAGCTGGGTTTATTTGACAAGTAACAGCCTCCATGCAAATGATTTTTTATGTCATATATGTTTAGGAGTTTCCAATGGTGAAGGTAAGCATAGATTGTGCCACCCAGTGACCACAATAGACAAGGATATTTTTTCCGAAAAAATCTGGGATCCGTATTTTTCGAGATTCAGAGGCTTATCACACCAAAATGTCCTCAGGTGTGTTTTGTGATATTTTGAGTTAAAAGTTTTATCTGAACTAGTTGGTGAGCAGGAATTCAGTGCTATTGGCTGAAACCTGTCAGAATCTCTGCCCATCAGTCATGGAATATAACACAGATTACAGATGTCGTTCTTTAATACAGGAAGGGCATTCTCACTGTCATTGCCTTCATTGCTCAGACCTTTGTGTATAGGAGTTGGGATATCATATTGAGGTTAAACAGAATGTTGGTGAGGCCTCTTCTGGAGTACTGTGTGCAGTTCTGGTTGCCCTGCTGTAGGGACGATATTATTAAACTGGAGCGGGTTCAGAAAAGATTTACCAGGATGTTGCCAGGAATGGAGGGTTTGAGATATAAAAACAGACTGGAAAGACTGAGACTTTTTTCACTGGAGTGAAGGAGGTGGAGAAGTGACTGTATTGAGGTTTATAAAATCACGAGGGGCATAGATAAGGTAAATTACAAGGGTCTTTTCTCTAGGTGGGGGAGTTCAAAACTAGTGGGCATAGTTTTAAGGTGAGAGGAGAAAGATTTAAAAAGGACGTAAGGGGCAACTTTTTTACACAGAGAGTTGTTCGTGTGTGCAATGAACCACCAGAGGAAGTGGCGGATGCAAGTACAGTTACGATGTTTAAAAGATATTTGGATATGTTCATAAATAGGAAAGTTTTATAGGGATATGGGCCAAGAGTAGCAGATGGGACTGGTTTAGTTTGGGAACATGGTTGGTGTGGACTGGTTGAACTGAAGGGTCTGTTTCCATGCTGTATGACTATGAATCTATAAATTATCCTCCTTCCAGAGGCTGAAGTGTGCCTTTAACTAGCCATCAGAGCTAAAAACTGAGTCTAGCTTCACTTGATTGGGAACAGCAACTTCCACAGCAGAAGAGTCTTTAAATGTGTTTAAAAAGGATATAAGGGGCAATTTTTTTACACAGAGAGTTATTCGTGTGTGGAATTAACTGCCAGAGGAAGTGGTGGATGCAAGTACAGTTACAATGTTTAAAAGATATTTGGATATGTTCATGAATAGGAAAGGTTTAGAGGGATATGGGCCAAGAGCAGCAGGTGGGACTGGTTTAGTTTGGGAACATGGTTGGCAATGTTAGAAAGCATAATGAGTTACATTGTTGCAGACCAGAAATAACTGATTTGACACTTTCGATAGCAGGAGAGGGTTGGTTAGCTCAATTGGCTGCAACCCAGAATGATGCCAACAGTGCGGGTTCAGTTTGCACACTGGCTGAGGTTACCATAAAGTCTCATCTTCTCAAACTTGCCCCTTGCCTGAGGTACAGTGACCTTCAGGTTAAACCGCCTCCAGTAGTCTTTCTCTAATGAAAGAGTAGTCCTCTGTTTCTGTACTGACTTCGCTATAGGACAAAGGGAATACTCCCCAACCCTCTCTCCAAAGGAAAATTGCCAACCAAAAGCACAAATGCTATCAGGAGATAATTATGAAATTTTGATAAAAGGGAGCATTATATTTTCTTTGGGGCCAGTTCCTGAGTCTAGTTATACATGGCCAACCTGAAGCTGGTCACACTCTATAGAATTTTAACTCAATGCTGTGTGTATGGAGTCACTGGCAGATTCCCCTCCTGGAGGTCAAACTGAGTGATTGGAGGGGAGGCTACAGGATCCAGTAGATCTGAGCCCCAATTGAGAGGGTGGTGGTTGGGTACTGGGGAGATCTCTGAACCTCAGGGTTGGTGTACCTCTAATAAAGATAGAAGGTAGCTGAGGGATCAGAAGCCTCTTGTGTTGGGAGGGGTGGAACCAGAAGCTCTCAGGGGAAGAGATAAATGGCCTCAGGGATTGGGGAATAAATGGTTGCAAACCTCTTGATGGAGCTTGAAAACCTTGAGGCAGAAGTCACAGGAGTTTATAAGGGGAGGACCAGGAAGAGGTTTCATGGGAAATTGGTAAGGCAGGTACTTAGACTCCAGTAGTTAAGTGAAATGGCATTTACCTACAGGATCAAGTAAGTCTTCATCTTCATTTGGCTGCCAAATTTTCCAAGGTCAAATTTAAAATGATAAACGTTAAATGCTACTAGTGATATTTAAATTGCTAACCCTCCTCCCAAGAATGGACTAGCTGCCTGCTTTCATGAATAAGTGAGAACTGGATGGATTGGATAAATGCTGGAGTTGGGATTCGGATTTAAAATTTCCCTTCTGACCCTAACCTGCTGCTTTTTGAGTTTGAAATTATCCCCGAAGTAACCCTGGATTGAATCTCAACGATTACAGTTATCAGATTAAGTGTGTCTATGCAGTGCTAAATTCACTACATAAAGAAATCCAGACAAAATTATTGAGATAAAACTCCAGAAGATCTTGTAATACTGGCATAATGATGGAGGTCTAGTTTAAAGTTCATTTTGATGATTTTATTATAGGATCCAAACTCTGTCTGGAGGTGAACAGATGTAGCAGTTGTTTCTCTGCAGTTGTTTTTTGGATTGTGGCGACGAATAATCAAGCCACAGTCAACTCAGTCATACTCAAAAATTTCACCACTATTTCATCTATAATCAAAAGTTTACTTCTTTTTCTGCAGTTTCCAAGAAAGACAGGCATTATCTCTGAACAGATACCAATATCTAGTCATATTTATTCTCGTTGCTGCAGTCTTTATTCGTTTTAAATCTTTTAGCCCCACATTTCTCTGCAAAAGATTAATACTGATAAATTTTCCTACCTTTTTCTTGCTTTATAGAGACCCTCTTCATAGGTTTGTACCCATGTTATATCATCTCCCCAACCTAAAACAATAACACATATTGGCATGCAAATATTAAATAAAAACAGAGAAAAAGAGAGCATGAATAAGCTCTTCAGTGTAGCCATTTGAAGTCTTTTATTTGTCTAGAAATCTATTTCTTTTTCAAATAAGTAGTCTCTCTAATCTAGTGTGTTCTAGTTAATTTTACACAACTATCAAACAAATATATATTGTTTAATATCAGAACAGCAAAGTTAATTCAGCCTCTATTTTCATAAGATTATAACACATATGTGCAAGGGATAGCCATTTGGCTTCCTGAGTCAGGAGGATATGTGAGGTGATTGTGGTGTTAACCCCATTTTTCTGCTGACATTTGTAACCCGTGACTTTCGTGTAGATCAAAAATCAAATTGAACTTTGAGTACATTGAGTGACCAATCCTCCACTGCTGTCTATGGAAAGGAATTCCAAACCCTAAGTACGGTCATGGACAAATTGTAAGGGCTTGTTCTATTTATCCAAAACAATACATATGTATGAGTTGTGTATTTTCTACCCTTTGAGTATTTTACTCAATATTAATAACCTAACAGTGCGCTTTGTGAATTTGAATAATTATTTTTTTCAATGCTTGCCCTGGAAGTTAACAAAGGCGTAATGTCTCATTCACTTGACTCACCCACATTATCTCAAATACACAGTTACATACAGATGAAAATGAAATGACTATAAAAATGAAATTTAACTAAGTTCTCTATTTCAATGCACGCCTGATATTTATTCGCTGAGTTAGTGCTTTGATTGGATCGAGTGAAGATCATGAAAAAGGAACAATTTTTCAATAGCTATGAACGTTCATGTAGATGGTCTGCCTGGAGGTGGATTTCCCAAGTGAATTTGAAAGTGGAATAGGTGAGATAAGACATGTTTATCTGTCTCTTTAAGTGTAATCAGAATAGTCTAGTCACCCTTGGAAGCCATCTTGATTTTCTATCTTTTCAAGTATATCTTTCAGACTATAACTTTGAAGATTTCGTATATCATTATGATGGTAGATGGTGTGACAGAACCTTAGGTAAGAAGAAGTCCCTCCTCATTTCAGTTTTAAGTTGGAGACCCCTTTTTTTTTAATTTTATCCCCTTGATTTGAATGTATCCAGGAGTGGAAACATTCTCTGCACACTCATTCTGACAATACCATTTAGAAATTTAAATTTTTAATAACATTTCCTCTTTTTCTACCTAAAATCCAATCATTTTAGGCCCAATCTGTTCAAACTTCCTTCAGAGTACAAACTCTTCTTCTCAGGAGCTGTGTGAACTTTCTCTAAACTGCTTCCAATGCAAGTATATGCTCCCTTCCCTTTTATTCTTGTTATTGGCCCAGTTTTGCAATGACAGGGCATCTTTTTAATTATTTACTAATTAGATGTCTGTGTTGCTATTCAGGCAGGTTTTTATTGCCCATACCCAATAAACCTTAAGAAGGGTGGCACAGTGGCAAACACTGCTACCTCACAGCACCAGGGACCTAGGTTTAATTCCAGCCTCGGGCAACTGTATGTGTGGGGTTTGCACATTCTCCCCGTGTCTGCGTGGGTTTCCTCCCACAGTCCAAAGATGTGCAAGTTAGGTGGATTGGGAAATGGAGGATTACAGGGGTAGGTTAGTGGGGTGGGTCTGGCTGAGACGCTCTTCAGAGAGTCAACATGAGCTCGGTGGGCTGAATGGCTGGCTTCCACACTGTAGGGATTCAATGAAGCTGGTGGTGAGATATGTCCTCAACTGCTAGGTACATCCACAGTGGAGATAATTTCAGGATTTTGACCCAATGCAAGTGAAGAAATGGCAATATAATTCTAAATCAGGATGGTATGTGTCTTGTCAGGGATTAGCAAGTGGTGGTGTTCCCATACTTATACAGCCATTGTTCTGCTATATGGTAAAGTTCATCGGTTTGGTATAATTCATCGTGCTGTTGAAGGAATCTTGACAAGTTGCTGCAGTACATCTTATAAATGATATACACTACATTCACTGTTCAGCAGTGGTGGAAAGAGTGGATGTCTAAGGTTGTAAATTGGGTGCCAATCAAGTAGGCAGTTTTGGTTGGGGATAGTGTTGAGTATCCTGAGTAGTGTGGGAGCTGCACTCATCCAGGCAAATGGAGAGTATACTAATACGCTCCTGAATGTGCCCTTTAAATGGTGGACAGGCTTTGAGAAGGCAAGAGGTAAGTTATTTGCCACACATTTGCATTGGCTGACCTGCCCTTGTAGTCGCAGTATTAATATGGTTAGTCCAGTTCTGTTTCTGATCAATGGTAACCTTGGCCTTGAGAGATGCTTACCCCATTGAATGTCAAAAGGTGATTGTTAGATTTTCTCTTGTTTGAGATACTCATTTCCTGGCGATTGTATGGCGTGGATGCTACTTGCTACTTACCAGCTCAAGCTGCAATGTTGTCCAAGTCTTGCTACATCTGGTCACAATTTGCTTCAATATTGAAGAAGTTACAAACCTTCCAACCATTAATCAACATCCCTCATCTAACATTATGATAGAAAGAAGATCATTGATAAAGCAGCTGAAGATAGGTGGATCAAGGACATTACCTTGAAGAATTCTACCATCAATATCCTGGAGTTGTGGTGATTGAGAACCACAGCCATCTTCCTTTGCACTTATTTTGACTTTAGCCAGTGGAATACTTCTCCTTTAACTCCCTAATTAACAGTGTTTGCTCAGAGATAGTAGGAACTGCCGATGCTGGAGTCTGAGATAACAAGGTGTGGGGAACTGGATGCTGATAGTTTGACTTCCTCCTTGAGGTTTGTAAATGCCTTGCATATTAGGTTCTGCAAGAGTGAGGTGATGACGGTTTACCAAAGAAAACATTACATTTGTGACCTGAGTAGACAGAACAAAGAATTTGTGTTTCTGTTTGAAGGACTGCAAAAAAAGCAGTTTAAGGGCTGAGAATGACAGAGAGAGGTATAATTTAATATCAAATCAGGTGTGGCAGAGAAAAAAAGAAAGGGAATGAAAGATTAGATTCAGAAAGTGAGAAAAATTGCCAAGTAATTGCAATTGCGGAGGCCTTATCTGTGCTATCCCTAATGGAAGTATATATCTCCTTAAATAAACAGACCAAATTGTACACAGTGCTCCAGGTGTGGCCTTACCAGTGCCTGGTATAGTTGTAGCAAGGCAGCCAACACCTCTTCCTCCGTTACATTGATGACTGTATTGGCGCTACCTCGTGCTCCCACGAGGAGCTCGAACAGTTCATCCACTTCACCAACACCTTCCACCCCAACCTTAAGTTTACCTGGACCATCTCTAATACCTCTCTCCCCTTCCTGGATCTCTCTGTCTCCATATCGGGCAACCACCTAGAAACCGATATTCATTTCAAGCCCACCGACTCCCACAGCTACCTAGGATACTCCTCCTCCCACCCACCTTCCTGCAAAAATGCTATCCCCTATTCCCAATTCCTTCGCCTCCGCCGCATCTGCTCCCAGGATGAGGCATTCCACTCCCCTACATCTCAGTTGTCCTCGTTTTTCAAGGACCGTAACTTCCCCCCCTCAGTGGTCGAGAACGCCCTCAACCGTGTCTCCCAAATCTCCCGCAACTCATCCCTCACACCCCGTCCATGCAATAAGAACCAAAAAAGAATCCCCCTCGTCCTCACGTACCACCCCACCAACCTCCAGATCCAACGCATCATCCTCCGACACTTCCGCCATCTGCAATCCGACCCCACCACCAAAGACATCTTTCCCTCCCCACCCTTATCTGCTTTCCGGAGGGACCACTCTCTCCGTGACTACCTTGTCTGCTCCACACTCCCCTCCAGCCCCACCACACCCGGCACTTTTCCCTGCAACCGCAGGAAGTGCTACACCTGCCCCCATACCTCCTCCCTCACCCCCATCCCAGGCCCCAAGAAGACTTTCCACATCAAGCAGATGTTCACCTGCACATCTGCCAATGTGGTATACTGCATCCACTGTACCCGGTGTGGCTTCCTCTACATCGGGGAAACCAAGCGGAGGCTAGGGGACCGCTTTGCAGAACACATACGCTCGGTTCGCAATAAACAACTGCACTTACCCAGTCGCGAACCATTTCAACTCCCCCTCCCATTCCTCAGACGACATGTCCATCCTGGGCCTCCTGCAGTGCCACAACAATGCCACCCGAAGGTTGCAGGAGCAGCAACTCATATTCCGCTTGGGAACCCTGCAGCCCAATGGTATCAATGTGGATTTCACAAGCTTCAAAATCTCCCCTCCCCCTACTGCATCCCAAAACCAGTCCAGCTCGTCCCTGCCTCCCTAACCTGTTCTTCCTCCCACCTATCCCCTCCTCCCACCTCAAGCCGCACCCCCATCTCCTACCGACTAACCTCATCCCGCCCCCTTGACCTGTCCGTCCTCCCTGGACTGACCTATCCCCTCCCTAACTCCCCACCTACACTCACCTTTACTGGCTCCATCCCTGCCTCTTCGACCTGTTGTTTCCTCTCCACCTATCCTCTCCTCTATCCATCTTCTATCCGCCTCCCACTCTCTCCCTATTTATTTCAGAACCCCCTTCCCCTCCCCCTTTCCTGATGAAGGGTCTAGGCTCGAAACATCAGCCTTTCTGCTCCTATGATACTGCTTGGCCTGCTGTGTTCATCCAGCCCTGTACCTTGTTGTCTCGGATTCTCCAGCATCTGCAGTTCCTACTATCTCTGAGCCATATGTTTATCTCCATTTCTCTTTGAATAAAAGCTGTTCCATTTGCCTTCTTAATAGTTTGCTTTACCTGCATGTTATTTTTTTGTGATCCATAAATGAGCAGAAACAGATCCTCTGTATCATAGTATTCTGCAATCTCTCCTTTTAAATATATTCTGTTTTTCTATTTTTTCTGTCAAAATAGATAATCTCATATTTCACCACATAATGCTCCATTTGCCAAATTTTATCCACTCACTTAAACTACTTTTTTTTCTGCAGCCTTGTATCCTCCTTACAAAGTACTTTCCTAGCTAACATTGTATCATCAGCAAAGGGCTCTTTATCCAAGTCATTCATATAAATTGAAAACAAATAAGACTCCAACGTTGTTTCCTGTAGCAACCCATGACTTATAGCTTGCCAACCTGAAAATAACTGATTTATCCTAAGTCTCTGTTACCTATTTCAGAGTCAATCCTCTATCCTGGTTAATATATTGCTCCCAACATTATAAGTTCTTATCTCATGCACTAACCTTTCATGTAGCATATTATTGAATGTTTTTATGGAAATTCAAACATGTCATATCTGCTGTTTCTCTTTTATTCACCCTGTTTGTTACATTTTTGAAGAGCTCAAATAAATATATCAAGCATGATTTCCCTTTCATTAAGCAATGTTAACTTTGATTGTATGGTATTTTCCTAAATGGCCTGTTACCACTTCCTTAATAATACATAAGAATTTTCTGAATGATAAAAGTTAGGCTACCTGGCCCATCCTTTCCTGCTTTCCATCTCCCTCCTTCCTCAACTTGGACTGTAGAAGTATTAGATATGCAGTTTTGCAATCTACTGGGCCCTTTTGTAGAATCTCTGGAATTTTGGAAGGTTACAACCTTTGCTGCCAATACCTCTGCAGCCAGTTTTGAGATCCTAAGAAACAAGCCAGGGTACTTGTCAGCCTTTAGCCCACTAATTTAGTATTCATGGTTCTTCTTTTTCTCTAGTTACAAAGATAATTTTAAGTTCCTTTCTCCCTTTTGGGTTTGTATCTATCTTGGAAGCATAGCATAGCATTTCAAAAATGAGGTTCACTACAGTAAGATCACATATTTTGACAGGGAAATATGGCCCATTTAAGACACAATGATGTTTTGGGAAGTAGCACTGAGTTAGGACCCTCACCTGTGCATGAATCTGTCAGTCTGAATAGTTTTACCAAGTGGACAATGTATTGCCATGTCATCAAAAATACTTGGTCAGGGGCGAAGTCTTCTCAGGCTCTCAAACTTGGCTTCCTGTCCTTCTGCTTCTATTATAAGCATTTTCTTGGGGCTCCACAGCTTTTCACAAAGCGACTTGATCAGATAGTGTGAAAGAAAACGGCATCATTTTTAAGATAACAAGGTGTAGAGCTGGATGAACATAGCAGGCCAAGCAGCATCAGAGGAGCAGGAAAGCTGAAGTTTCAGGCCTAGACACTTCTGCTGCTTGGTCTGCTGTGTTCATCCAGCTCCACACCTTGTTATCTCAGATTCTCCAGCATCTGCAGTTCCTACTATCTCTGGCATCATTTTTAACACTTGCTTACAAGCAGGTCATGTCAACCATGAAATAAAGGGCAGTTAGTTGAGAGTGTGATTGCAGACTGAGCTGCCACATTTCTTAGATTATCACTTCTGCATTAACTTTAGAGTCAATCATTAGCCCAGAAATTATAACCAGGAAACATTGTGGACAGCAATGGAAAAGATCAGTGACAAAATTGAAGTACCTTCTTGGGTCAAACACCCTCTGTAAGGTATGTTAATTCATGTAACATGTTCACAAATATCAAGTCCTTGTTGAGATGCATTTGTCTTGTTGCCTTTTAGTAAGGCAAACCAGGGCTGGACTTACACAGTCAATGGTAGGGCCCTGGGGAGTGTTATAAAATGAAGAGATCTAGGAGTACAGGCTCATAGATCCTTGAAAATGGAGTCACAGGTAGACAGGGTGGTGAAGAAGGCTTTCAGCATGCTTGCTGTCATTGGTCAGAGAATTGCGTATAGGTGTTGGGATGTCTTGTTACAGCTGTACAAGATGCTGGCGAGGCCACATTTGGAGTACTGTGCGCAGTTCCGGTCACCCTACTGTAGAAAGGATATAATTAAATTGGAAAGAGTGCAGAAAATATTTACTAGGATGCTACCTGGACTGGAAGGTTTGAGTTGAAAGGAGAGGTTGGATAAGCTGGGATTATTTTCCCTTGAGCATAGGAGACTGAGAGGTGACCTTATAGAAATCTATAAAATCATGAGAGGCATAGGTTAGGTAGATTGCTGACAGCTTTTCCTCATGGCAAATGAGTCTAATGCTAAAGGGCATAGGTTTAAGGTGAGATCAGAGAGATACAGAAGAGTCCAGAGGGGCTGACAGATATAAACATGAGTGTCAGGGGTTCTATTCACTCTGAGAGCTGGCTCTGTGGGACCTGGATCAGTGTCAAGTTTTTACCATGTGTGTATAAGTAGTGACTTGGTGACAGGATACCAGCTCCTGTGGAATTATTTCAGTGGTGACGAGAGAAAAGCATGCTCCTGAAGAAATTCTCTCGCAACGGTCATCTTTGTGTCAGGGTAAGCATTCTGGCATCATGCCATTACTTAGGAAGCTTGACTTGTGCAATCTTGCCATCAAAGAATGGGCCCAGTATATGGAAAGAATGTGTTTTTTATTTCTGGGCAAATGACATTGGATGCAGACATAGCCACATTGGTGGGGCAGTACCCCGAATGCCAACAAGGACAAAAATTACCACCAGCAGCACCCCACATTCATGAAAATGGCTGAGTAAACCCTGCTCTCAGTTACACGTCTTACATGCTTTTGACGTAAAAATATTCAAAAACACCCGGTTCCAATTGTTGTGAGCATTCACTGACTTTTTGCTTGAAGGATAAGCAATCCTCGTCCGTTCCCAAAAACAAATACAGCTTTTGTTTGTTTTGTTTTCTTCATTTTTGCTGTTGTTGAAGAAAAATGAACATTTTCAGCTGTTCAAAGGCTTTTCAGTATATGATGTTACACTGGTGTAGTGGGAACAGTAGCAGTCCCTTAGACAGAGTTTTAACATAGTATGGTGCAGAGGATCAGTAGCCTTAGTAGTCTGGTTCTTGTAGCTGTAGTTACAATGACTGGCAATTAGACATGGAATAGTATAAAATATCAACATATTTATGGAAGTGAGCTTGTGTTTAACAATGAAGTGCCCCCTATGTGCTCTCAGAAGCATTTTTTTTCATTCCCCTCCCACTAAGTGCACTGTGAAGGGCAGTTCTTGGCTAGACTTGGTGTATGGTTAGTTTTTAGATATCGCGCTAACTGGAATCCCAGGAAGTCCTGGCAGTATTTCTGCCAATTGTGAGTGCACAATAGCAAAAACAGGATGCCATACAGGCGCAATACGTACATAACGAGGTAAGTACCAGAAAATTGTATGAAAGAGTTCACCAAGTGCAACTCTCCATGAAGCTCTTCAAAATTAATACTTAGCTAACTTTTGGCAAAATTCAGCCTTCAGTCAGGATTTTACAAGGGCGATAGTGAGCATTCTGTTGGATAGCAGAATTTTAAAAAAAAACAAACAAAATGTTGAGATGATTAGTAAAGGGTGTCACACAAGTAGAATTTTCATATTATAATTGGAGGGACTTTGTACAAGCTCCTGCATTATTTATATTGGAATCAGACTTGAGATAAGTAAAGGTTCACCAGGCAATGTGCTATAGTCAGTATAGAATCAAGTTCTGGGATTTCAGCAATGTCTACGTTTTGGAAATAATGTTCCTAGGGCATGTCCGTGACAGCTGAGCGCCACGTGCTGTGTATTATTGGCTGCCGTGACTTAACCGTCTTAGCTTGGAGGCCTCGCATGATTGGAATTGTCAACTTAAATGATGTAAGTTAGTCCCAAATCCAACTATAACCAACAAAGACATGAATCATATACAATCTTGATGCAAAACATATCAGCAAGCAGGGATAGGTTCAGAAGAAGTTCAGCAAAGCTTTAATTTAAGCAATTTTTGTAAAGTTCCTCGTAGGCCAGGAGGAGCAGGATTGCCATTCAAACTCCACTTCTCACCTTTCCCATTAGCAATGATTGCCTATAGAACTATATTTTTAAAAATTACAACATAGAAAGAGGCCATTCAGCCCACTGTGCATGTACCTGTCTCATACCCTCTCTCCTCTTTGATTCAGGTGGGAACTATTTCTCTATATGTTCCCACTATCTGCGATTGCATGATTTCCTGCTCCAATTGGCTTGCATTGATGCCATTCCCATTGGCTTCAGTCAAGAGTTATTGAGGGAGATTAAGATGTGGCACTGATCTTCTGGCCATGCAAAATCAGACTGTTTCTGCCCCACTGAATTGTTTTTGCATTTACATGAATTGCACTCATCCTTGATATAACTTTCAAGATCAAGAGAAGCAAAATTTACTCACAAAACCTATTAAGTAAACATCACTTACCTCTTGACAGTGTTTGAGGCGGTCTTTTTTTGATTGCTGTGGCTAGGCTGGATGTGACAGCAACCAGAAACAAAAAGAAATGAACAAAAAACTGGAGCATTGTTGTATAATCACTGGAATTACACCCTGGATTGAAATTCAAACTGGAAGAACAGGTCAGGGTTAATAAGCACGAATCCTTTCTGCATCAATTCAGCCTGAAAAGTACCTGTATTACTCACTACTTGGGCAATCTCCTGTGGGAAAAGCTTTTGAAGTGAATGATTTATTTAAATAGGGTGGATATGCAATAACCTTGTCAAATAGCTGTACCTATGGCAACTGTGTGACGTCTTGCTTAAGCAAAGTTGATCAAAACTTTACTCAGTTAAATAAATTCACAAAATCTAACCATATTACTTTTTTGATACCCTTTTCAATGATAGAAAGTGTACTTTTATTGATATATGCATGCTAAGATGAAGTAAAAATGGGGAAAAGGAAACACATTTCCATCAATTTTGTGTGGAATTATATTCTAGTAAGTACAAAGCAGCACTGGGTGTAATTCAAGAAAGAGTATCTACCAATAAGATACTGTACAGTCATTCAATACTTTATAAAGATGACTGGTCTCAATCTTATTCGTACTGGATTAAAGCCAATAATTGTTTTTCGATTCATTCTGTGGAACAAAGTACTTTTTTTTACCACTACTGGTGTTGTTGCTCTTAACTTACAAAGATCCTATGCTTCCGCATGAAACTCTCCATTTTGATTTCTCAGCAATCTTCATGCCAATATCATACTATATATATAACATTTTCAATATTTTATTGTAAAGTAATTATTGTTGGTGATTAGGGGTCAGCATGGTGGCTCAATGGTCATCACTGCTGCCTCACAGTGCCAGGGACCCAAATTTGATTCCACCCTTGGGTGACCGTCTGTGTGGAGTTTGCACATTCTCCCTGTGTCTGCATGGGTTTCCTCTGGGTGCTCCGGTTTCCTCTCACAATCCAAAGATGTGCAGGTTAGGTGAATTGACTAAGTTAAATTGTCCACAGTGTCCAGGGATGAGCAGGGTAGTTTGGTTAGCCATGGGAAATGCAGGGTTACAGGATAGGGTAGAGGATTGGTCTGGGTGGACTGCTGTTTGGAGGGTCGGTGTGGATTGGATGGGCTGAATAGCCTGCTTCCACACTAGGGATTCTATGATTCTAATGTTTTTGCCTCGTCAACCACTTAGAAATTGAGTGATTGTTTTATGTCGCAGTATATTTCAATGATTCAATCCATGCCTTTCAGGATCATAAACAGCAGAAAATAAGACTAACAGTAGATTTTGTATTAAATTTAACACTATTATGTGAAGACACATGAACAAGGTCTGGAGACAAATCAAAAATTTGTGATTAGGTGATGTCACATAGAAATTTCTAAATCATTGAAATTGTAGGATGGGAGAAAGACAAAGAACCATCATTGAACTTCTTCAAATTGAATGTCTTGCAACAAGTGTCATTAGTTAGGAATTTTTCTGCATTCTTTAGCTTGAATATCACTTGAGCTCACCTAACAGAAGGTTTTTACTTAACTATAAATGAGTTGATAAAGATGATCCAACCAAACTCCATAATCTAATACAAAAACAGAGTTTGCTGGAGAAACTCAGCATGCCCGGTCTATGAAAAGAAAGCAGAGTCAATGCTTCAAGCCCAGTGACCCTTCTTCAGAATGCTGTTTCTGCTTTCTCTCCACAGATGCTGCCAGATCTGCTGAGTTTCTCCAGCAAGTTCTATTTTTGTTTCAGATCTTCGGCATCTGTAGTTCTGTGTGTTATTCCATAATCGGATAACAGGATCGTAAAGGAGAATCATAGAATGGCTACTGTGCAGATGGAAGCCATTTGCTCTGAATTGTCTGTGCTGACTTTGTGCAAGATCAATTCAAGTTGGACCCTTTCCTCTGCCATTATCCTGAAGCCCCAACATTTCTTCTTTGGTTGGTTTAATTAAAACAGTCAGCTGGTTTTTCAAGCTAAGCCAACAGCATAGGTTTAATTCCTGCACTGGCTGAGGCTACCATAATAAAAAGGAAGAAGAATATGGGCCCAAGCTATGCCTGCCTTTTTGTAGGATACGTGGAACAATCCCTCTTCCGCAGCTACACTGGCCCGATCCCCCACCTCTTCCTCCGTTACATCGATGACCGTATCGGTGCCACCTTGTGCTCCCACGAAGAGCTTGAAAAGTTCATCCACTTTACTAACACCTTCCACCCCAACCTTAAGTTCACCTGGACCATCTGTGATACCTCTCTCTCCTTCCTGGACCCCTTTGTCTCCATCTCTGGTAACCACCTTGAAACTGACATCTATTTCAAGCCCACCGACTTCCACAGATACCTAGACTACACCTCCACTCACCCACCCTCCTGCAAGAATGCCATCCCCTATTCCCAACTCCTTCGTCTCCGCCGCATCTGCTCCCAAGATGAGGCATTCCACTCCCGGACATCCCAGACGTCCTCGTTTTTGGAAGACCACAGTTTCCCCCCACAGTGGTCGAAAACGCCCTCGACCGCGCCTCTTGTGTTTCCCGCATCACAGCCCTCACACCCCCTTCCCGCAATAACAACAAAGACAGAATTCCTCTTGTCTTCATGTATCACCCCATCAACTTCCGGATCCAACGCATCATTCTCCGCCACTTCCGCCACCTACAATCTGACTCCACTACCAAGGATATATTTCCCTCCCCACCCTTATCTGCCTTCCAGAGGGACCGCTCTCTCTGAGAGTCCCTCGTCCGCTCCACTCTCCCCACCAGCCCTACCACCCCCAGCACTTTTCCCTGCAATCGCAGGAAATGCTACACCTGCCCCTACACCTCCCCCCTCACCTCCATTCCAGGCCCCAAGAAAACCTTCCACATTAAACAGACGTTCACCTGCATATCTGCTAATATGGTATACTGTATCCGCTGTTCCCGATGTGACCTCCTCAACATTGGGGAAACCAAGCGGAGGCTCGGAGACCGCTTTGTGGAACACCTACACTCGGTTTGTGACAAATGACAACACCTCCCAGTCGCGAACCACTTCAACTCCCCCTCCCACTCCCTGGATGACATGTCCTTCCTGGGCTTCCTCCAGTGTCACAACGATACCACCCGAAGGCTGCAGGAACAGCACCTCATATTTTACTTGGGAACCCTGCAGCCCAATGGTCTCAATGTGGACTTCACAAGCTTCAAAATCTCCCCTCCCCCAACCTCATCCCAAAACCAGCCCAGCTCGTCCCCGCCTCCTTGACCTGTCCGTCTTCCCTCTCACCTACCCACCCCTCCCTCCTCACTGAAAAACCCCCATCCCAACTCCTGACCTACGCTCACCTGTACTGGTTTCATCCCTGCCTCCTTGACCTGTCCATTTTCTCTCCACCTTTCTGCTCCTCTATCCACCTTCTACCATCGCCTGTCCCTCTCTCTATTTATTTCAGAGCCCCCTTCCCCTCCCCCATTTCTGAAGAAGGGTCCAGACCCGAAACGTCAGCTTTCCTGCTCCTCTGATGCTGCTTGGCCTGCTGTGTACATCCAGCTCTACACCTTGTTATCTCAGACTCCAGCATCTGCAGTTCCTACTATCTCTGAGAATAATATGCTGTTTGGCCCTTTGAGCCTGCTCCGCCATTCAATTGGATCATGGCTGATCCAACAATCCTTATGTCAACTTTCCTGCACTTTCCCCATAAATTTTGATACCCCTACTGGTCAAGTATCTCTCTGTCTCAGCTTTAAATATACAGGAGGACTCTTTCCCCCACAGCTGTCTGTGGCAAGGAGTTCCAAAGACACAAAACCCTTTGAGGGAAGAAACTCCTCCTCATCTCAGTCTTAAATTGGCACCCAATTGGAAATTGAAAATATAATCCAGGCTTAAATTGGAAATAGCAAGAAAGTAGATGCGAGAAATGTTGGATCAGCTGTGATCCTATTGAATGGGAGAGGAGGCTAACGGGGCTGAACAGCCTACTCCTGTTCTTATTCTTGTGGTTTTAATTCTGAGACTATGCTGTCTGGTCCTTGACTCTCCCGTGAGGACAAGCATCCTTTCAGCATTTACCCTGTCAAGCCCCTTAAAAATCTTCTGGGTCTCAAGGAGATCATTCTAAATTCCAGTGAGTAGTGTCCCAGCCTTTTTAGCCTCTGCTCATAATACAGTTCATCCATACCTAGTGAACCTGCTACGAACTGCCTGTAGTGAAATGACTTCTTTCCTTAAATAAGGAGAGCAAAACTGCTCACAGTACTCCAGATGTGGTCTTACTAGTACCTTGTACAGTTGCAGTAAGACTTCCTTATTGTTATACTCCAAGCCCACTGAAATAAGGGCAAACATTCTATTAGCCTTCCCAATTACCTGCCACACTGGTGTGCTAGCTTTCTGTCTTTCGTTCACAAGTAGCTCTGAGTTTTCTCCAATTAAATGACATTCTCTTCTTTCTTTCTCCCTTCCAAAATGAACAACTTCACATTTTCCCACATTAAAATCCATTTGCAACTTATGCCCACTTACTTATTCTGTCAATATTTCTCTGGAAACTGTTTGTATCCCTCTCACAACCTGCCTTTCTACCTATTTTTGTGTCATCTGCTAATTTGGATGAAGGACTCTCCTTCTCAACCTCTCCCCTCGTCTGCAGCATAGTGACCCACAGGTTAAACCACCACCAGTTATCTCTCCCTAAGGAGAGGATAGCTCAATAGTCTCGTAGGATGATGACAACTTTACCTTTACACAATGTCTCTGTTTATAAATCCCAGTGTCACATGGCTTTGATACTCAGGGTTCCTGAGTGGTGGCGGCATCTTCAGTAGCTACAGAATCGGCTGGCCTGTGAAGCCAAGATTGGGACTCTCGCTACCACGTGGAGTGGGCTGGTGTGGCCCAGATGGGAATCTGTTGGCAACATGGCATGGACTGGTGAAGCCTGGAGTGGGACTGTAGCAGCAGAGAATGAAAAGTTGGACTCTCTTAAAGGTACTTTTCTTTATTTTTTATTTTGCTTTAAGTCAACGAGAATGGCGCCTATGCATGGCGAAGGAACACACTTTTCACTGTATTATTGTATTTTATATTGAATACACGTGACAATAAATTATTCAAGTCAATTCAAATCAAATCCTTTATTAATAAATTTCTCAATTGGTCCTTCCCCTTTCAATGGTACATGTACATGCTCCCTCATGTCCCTCTGCTCC